GGTCGTAGTTGATGCTGCATGATAATTTAGCGAGTTCTCTAGAAAGCTTAAGACTTACTTTGAACCTTGACTCTAAGTTGATCCTAAAAAAGGCTTCGACATCTTCCTTCGATCCATCAAATTTGAATCCAACCAAACGCATCATTCTGTTGATGTTGCCTTGAGCCGAATCCATTTCGGAGGTGAGGCTGGAAGTATAGATAAAGGGGAATGCAACGGCGCCGAACGAGTGAGCCTAGCTACGTCCCATTAAAGGACTACCACAAACGTCAAAATTGCTTACTGCATTTATGCCCTTTCATAAGGGTTTGCACCCCGACATCTATCCCACATTTTCGATGCGGGATATTTGTTTGTGAATGAGAACGGGTGAACCTTGTAAGGTTTTACAAATGATCCTCATTTGTGTCATGTTTTGTTATTTTTTGCTCTTTTATTCTTCAGGATCAATCAGTAAATGATTTTGTAAGTCATTTTAAATTTGTAAGCTCCACGGTGATTCTTTTTAACCGAAAATTTCGGAGCATTTGTAATCACCACGATCAATTTAAAAACAAACCAATACTAGAGCTCAAAAAATGCTCCAAATCATCCTCAGGGACCAATTGTGAATCATTTATTTGAGAACAATTTATCTAGATCTTTTTTCGAGTTTTATAAGAGACATAATGAGCATGGATCATCAAGGTTCAGCCCATAAAACCGGAGAAAGCATTAAAAGAAGAAAATAACAGAAGCAACATTAGTGGAAAACAAGGGAGAACTATTTATACAATACATTGTTTTGTTTTTATTAAATAAGATATGCCTTTCATGAAAAGGCCAACAATTGTTGACTATGAATGTGATTGATAATGAAAACACAAACATCAGACAAGTTTTTAGTATTTATGCATTTTTGGTAAAATAATGAAAAACCAAAATGCAACACCACCATTTTTTTTTGAAAACATAAAAATCTAGATTTTTAAGATATTTAAGTGATTTTTTGAAATTGTTTAAGGCCAAAACTAGCTGATCTTGCTGATTCTTAGATCTGGATCACCGATCCAGCCCGTTTTCAAGATGGCCAATCCGGGTCACCGATCTGTTTTTTAAAACCTCGATCGCAATGCAGCATATGCATGCTTCTAATGCTATGCACGGAACTTGGTCCCAGTTGAGCATCAAATGCTCATCACAAAATTTCATATCAATTTGCAAGGATTCATAGGCAAGCTCACTAGAGACTAGATATTGTGAAAATGATAAACAAAGTTGTCAAGAAACATAATGCCCCACTGGGACTTGCGAGCCAACACAAGGTTTACATAATCAGGTTTTCAAATGCGAAGGTTTACATAAGCAGGTTTTCAAATGCGGAAACAAGTTTGGCATTTTTTTTTTTCACCCCAAAAAGCACACTTTTTGTGCACAAGAAAGTGGGAATAACATGAGTATCAAAATAAAAAATAAAAAGTCTTACACATACCCCATTTTCTCTCTCT